TAATCTTAATTTCTATTAATAGTTTTGTTTACTTTATACTTTTTATAATAAATAAATAAATAAAATTTTTTAGCGTATTATGCCTCTAACAAATATTGAAGCAGTAATGATAGTCTTATTATTATTATTTTTTAATATTAAAATACGTATTTTAGTTTATATAATTTAGCAATATATGTTACATATTAATCTGAACGAGCTGCTTAATAGCATTCTTGCCTGTGTCCGGATTCTGCCTTGGACTCAGCCACTTCTGACATTTGGAACCAGCTCGTCCAAAATGTCCCATCTGACCTGGTACCTACTGGCCCCAGTTGTCTTGACGTGCTATCGCTCGACACGCACGAGACCGGGCCAGTTGAAAGGTACGGAATGAAGAAGCGACCTGGGCCGACACGAAACGTAAGTCCATTCTGGAGAAGGAAACCTTTTTTCCGGCAAGGCTGGGGCAACTTTACCGGCATCAAAACACCTGTTCATCTTATTGTGGCAAATTGAACTTCCCGCCCAAACGAACGATACTGGCTCAATATTTAACGTTGTTTTGGGTGAAGAACCACTCCAGTTTTTATAAAAACTGGAAGACGACTCTAAAAAAACTTGGCTCCACCAGAAACCGAGGCAAGTCTGCCCTTCAATTGCACACAACAGCCCCATCGTCCTCCCGGTCCGCGTTCATCGTCCATCCGGGACGGGGTTCTATCCCAGGACCCGCCGTCGGCCAGGCAACCAGACAAACTTACTACCTTGTGGGTGTTATCAAGGGTTGGGCGGCTTGTCGATGTTGACGGAAAATGTAGAAAATCGAGCCAAACAACGAATCCGTCGGCTGGACGCATCACGTGCCTCCGGTTCGAGGCCCGCTGGGGCTGTCGATGGAGCCTACAGCCGACGTTCTGCTCGTCTGCCTCTCTCCTACAATCGGCCAAAGGTCAGCCGAGGTGGGACAAGACATGATAGTTGAAGGCGCAGCAATCAAATGTACCAAATAGGTCCTAATTCTCACGAATTCCGCCAGGACGCATCCTGTCAAAAGACGTCCTCATCCAGAATGAACGTAGCCGAAAGCCAAAATGGCTCTCGAAACATGGCTAGAATGAAGGGAAGCCATATCATATCATCATTATGGCTGATTCTGTTGTTGTCCTTTCCTTGTCTGTGAAAGTATCGGAGAAGACTGTCTGGCGATTTTGACCTACCAGACTTCTAATTTCGAAGAAATTCGGGAATTAGTTGCCCTCGATTTGCAGAATGGTGAACCGAGGACTGTTTATCGTCTTGACTGTTTTTTTTATTTATTTTCGGTGTAATTGATTCACGAATTCATTCCAATCAACACGCCGATCGAAACGAAATGTTGACCTGCACTACTACTCATGTTGAGTTGTATTTATGTAATTGTGGCAAATTGAATTTTCACACATGTGAAGAACTGCTCGACTTTTCAGAATCCCTTAGTGAGTCAGTGTAACTTGACTGTTCATTTAAAGGAAAAAGACTGCTGTGAGAAATTCACTCACATAATTTTGTGTGAATCTATATTGACTGGAAGGTTAGGGCTTTTGCTTTCTGTTCATCAGATAAGCCATTTGATATGCCGACATTTCTGAAATAGGAATTCTGCATGCTGTTGTACCTTTCAATTCATACCAAGAGAAGGTGAATCTCTATGAATCCCTTTGGATAGCATTTGTGTGGAGACTTGCATTTCGTAAAAAGATTCGTGCGATAATCTCACCGAAAAATAATGATCACCTATTTTGGTTGTTCTCTACTTGTTTGGATTTAGTATGACCTACCTGTTGATGCAGTCGTCCACAAGACATCCTCCCTCGTTTCGAATACATCTTGACAGAGATTTAGGCCGTTGTGTCCCTTTATAGACATACTCAGAGCTGTAGCTCACAAGGGCAGAAAGTTAAGGGGACAACTCAGATACAATTAAATGAATTATTCGTATTAGAGTAGGGTTTCGAGACTACCAGTAAATCAGTGTAATGAGATGTATTCACCCTATTT